CCTCCTCCTCACTTCTCCCTCCTCCTCCTCCTCCTTCCTCCTCCTCCTCCTCCTCCTCCTCCTCCTCCTCCTCCGCCTCCTCTTCCTCGTCCTCGACCTCTTCCTCCTCCGCCCCGAGGGGGCCCCTCCCGTAGGGGAGGGGTCGGGACCCTAGGGTCCTCCTGGCGCAGGCGGGGAGCGCCGGGCCCGAGGGGCGAAAATCCCCCGCACCCCGGGGGACGCCGCCAAAGCGCGGTTTCCTTCCCCCGGGGGGGTCGCCAGGCCCCGTGTCCTCCCCCAGGGCGGTGCTGGGTCCCCCCCAGCGCTCGCCGCCCTGGGGCGGGGCCGGCGGCTCGTCTCTGTCGTGTCGCTCGTCCGTGTCGTGTCTTTCGTGTCGCGTCGTTCGTTTCGTCCCCCCGTCGTGTCGCGTCGTGTCGTGGTCCCCTTTTTTCTTTTTTCTTTTTTGTTTCGGTCCTGGGGGGTCCCTGGGTCCGAAACCGCGGCCACCTATGGAGTAGGTGGTGGGTAGGATGGGCGTCGGAGCACGTGCTCCGGCGCCCCCTACCCCGGCCAGGGTTCGCGGAGCACGGTCTCCTTGCGTTCCCTGGTCGCGCTTGGGCGCGCCACGGGGGCATGGCCCCGACGGTGGCGCGGGCTGAGTGTGCCTTTTGCATGCCGCGGAAGTCTCGGTGCTCAAAAAAACCTCTTCCTCCTCCCCTCTCCAACTTATGGTGGTGATGGTGGAAAATAGGCCCATCATGCATGGCTTGCCCATCGACGAGGTCACTGAAGCAACCACCTGCTGGCTGGTCGGAGGGGAGGCGGAGGGTGGAGGGTCACGCATAGAGGCTCAGGATGGACCGCTGGCCCCGGGGAAGGGGTCCAACCCTCTGGGGGTCGCCTCTGTGCACAGACCACAGCGTCGGATGTCTGGGGCAGTGCCAGACCTCCGGCGGCTGCTCCATGGCTCACCATCTACGGCCGCGCGCTGGCACGACCCCTGCTGGAGTCAAAAGGGAGGTTCGGCCTCACCAGGATGCTCGCTGTGCTCGAGATCAGTGGCCGAGGCGGCGGTCGCAATGACCACCCTCGAGGTCATCCCCACCAGAGCCGTGAAAGTGAGCAGTTGCGTCTGGCGCCGAATCCAATTCTCGCTTTCTATATTGATTATGTGCTGCTCTGTAAGGGCCACAGACTCCCTGCTCAAGGGCGCTCGCTGGCTGCTTCGCGTGACTCTCCGACAGGCTTCTGCCATACTTCCAACCTGACCAGAGGTGGTTCCCAGGCTCGTCTGGAAGTCATGTTGGATGCCTCTTCGGTCGTCTGGGGGGGCCTTCGGGTCGGCCCAAGAGGGCACAATCGTCGATTATCAGAGGCCGGCTGCTGTGATGCTTGCGTTGACGGTTTTGGGTCTTGATTGAAAACGTCCAAGGTAGTTCAACAGGGCCCCAAGATCGCCGCAAGAAGCTCACTGAAGGTAATGAGTTCGTTGCCTTCAGTGAGCCATGAGCCTTCTGCCTGTAGTGTCCCCAAGACGGCAAGTGTCCCCAAGACGACAATTTGCGTGGCTGGGGCGTCACAGAAGTTGCGCTGCCAACTTTGTTTTATCATCGCTGTCTCGTCGGAGGCCACCCCGGATCACAGGTCCCTTCTGCTGTCCTCGCCGTGTGGTGCTGCACATGCGGGTTGTGGTCGCCGTGGTGGTGCTGCATGCCTGTGGGTTTGCACATGCTGGATGCGGCCACGGTGCAAGTGCTGGTTAGAATTGTGGTGCTGCGCATGCTGGACGTGGTCACGGTGGAGTCGGTGAGCTGGTCGGCGCGGGAGTCGTCGAGCTGGTCTGCGCAGGAGTCGGTGACCCACGGGCTGGGAGCCGGTGAGCTGGTCGATGCGGGAGTCGGCGAACTGGTCGGCGCAGGAGTCGGTGACCTGGACGAGCTGGGAGCCGGTGAGCTGGTCGGTGCGGGAGTCGGCGAGCAGGTCGGCTCGGTGAAGGGGCTGGTGAAGGCGCTGGTGAAAATTGTGGTGCTGCGCATGCCTTTGACAATTTTAACGCCGTGTCTCGCTAAGCCGCCGGAGGCGGTAGACACGTTAGCTTGCACCGAGCCCCCCCGGGCAATAACTGTCACGAGTGGCCCTTTGGCACTTCTGGAGTTGAAACTGCGTAATCTGGCCCTGGGCAGCAACTTGCCTGGCTGGTCGGTGCGGGAGTCGGTGAGAAGGTCGGTGCGGGAGTCGGTGATAGGGTCGGCGAGGGAGTCGGCGAGCTGGACGGTGCATGAGTCGGTGATCAAGTCGGTGCTGGAGTCGGTGAGCTGGCTGGCGCGGGAGCAGGTGATATTGTCGGCGAGGGAGTGGGCGAGCTGGAAGGTGGAAGAGTCTGTGAACTGGTCGGTGCGGGAGTCGGCGAGCTGGTCGGTGTGGGAGTCGGTGAGCTGATCGGTGCGGGAGTGGGGGATATCGTCGGCAAGGGAGTCGGCGAGCTGGTCGGTTCATCAGTCGGTGACCCGGGGGGCGACACGCCAGCGTCCCCCCAACGAGGGGGTGCGACACGCCGGCGTCCACCCAGTCGGTGACCTGGTCGGCGCGGGAGTCGGTGAGATGGTCGGCGAGGGAGTCGGCGAGTTGGTCGGTGCACGAGGCGGTGACTTGGTCGGTGCGGGAGTCGGTGCACTTGTCGGTGCGGGAGCCGGTGATATGGTCGGCGAGGAAATCGGCGAGCTGGTCGGTGCAGGAATTGGTGGCCCGGGGGTGCGACACGCCGGCATCCACCCAACGAGGGGGTGCGACACGCCAGCGTCCACCCAGTCGGTGACCTGGTCGGCGCGGGAGTCGGTGAGATGGTCGGTGCATCAGTCGGTGACTTGGTCAGGGGGTGACGGTGCACTCGCCGGCGCGGGAGCAGGTGATATGGTCGGCGAGGGAGTGGGCGAGCTGGAAGGTGGAAGAGTCTGTGAACTGGTCGGTGCGGGAGTCGGCGAGCTGGTCGGTGCGGGAGTCGGTGAGCTGATCGGTGCGGGAGTCGGTGATAGGTCGGCACGGGAATCGGCGAGCCGGTCGGTGCTGGAGTCAGTGACCCGGGGGTGTGACACGCCGGCGTCCACCCAACGAGGGGTTGCGACACGCCGGCGTCCACCCAGTCGGTGACCTGGTCGGCGCGGGAGTCAGTGAGATGGTCGGCGAGGGAGTCGGCGAGCTGGTCGGTGCACGAGTCGGTGACTTGGTCGGTGCGGGAGTCGGTGCACGTGTCGGCGCGGGAGCCGGTGATACGGTCGGCGAGGGAGTTGGCGAGCTGGAAGGTGGAACAGTCTATGAACTGGTCGGTGCGGGAGTCGGTGAGCTGGTCTGTGCGGGAGTCGGTGAGCTGAGCGGTGCGGGAGTCGGTGATAGGTCGGCGAGGGAATCGGCGAGCTGGTCGGTGCGCGGTGTGACACGCTGGCATCCACCCAACGAGGGGTTGCGACACGCAGGCGTCCACCCAGTCGGTGACCTGGTCGGCGCGGGAGTCGGTGACATGGTCGGCGAGGGAGTCGGCGAGCTGGTCGGTGCACAAGTCGGTGACTTGGTCGGTGCGGGAGTCGGTGCACGTGTCGGTGCGGGAGCCGGTGATATGGTCGGCGAGGGAGTTGGCGAGCTGGACGGTGGAGGAGTCTGTGAACTGGACGGTGCGGGAGTCGGTGAGCTGGCCAGCGCGGGAGTCGGTGATATGGTCGGCGAGGGAGTCGGCGAGTTGGTCGGTGCACGAGTCGGTGACCTGGACGGTGCTGGAGTCGGTGAGCGGGTCGGTGCGGGAGTGGGTGATGATATAGTCGGCGAGGGAGTCGGCGAGCTGGTCGGTGCACGAGTCGGTGACCTGACCGGTGCGGGAGTCGGCGAGCTTTGCAGGAGTCGGTGACCTGGTCGGTGCGGGAGTCGGCGAGCAGGTCGTTGTAGAAGTCGGTGACCTGGTCGGTGCGGGAGTCGGTGACCTGGTCGCTGCGGGAATCGGTGAACTGGTCGGTGCGGGAGCCGGCAATATGGTCGACGTGGGAGTCGGTGACCTGGTCGGTGCACGAGGCGGTGACCTGGTCGGTGGGGGAGTCGGTGAGCTGGCCGGCACGGGAATCGGCGAGCTGATCGGCGCGGGAGTCGGTGACCTGATCGGTGCAGGAGTCGGTGAGCTGTCCGGCGCTGGAGTCGGTGATATGGCCGAGCTCTAGTCGCAATGTTCGGCCACATAGGCGATTTCGAAATGCATCGGGCGGCGGTGGTTCGCCGTAGGTGTCTTTGATAACAACGGCTGCTGCTATAATTTGAGGGGGCAAAAGCCATCGCTACCACCGACTCCCCTGACCCCTCCCGGGGCGCATAATGAGAAGAAATCTGGGGAGATCCCAGCCGTGGCGACGAGGGCTCTCCAGGAAGCGCAGCGGTATGGGTACATCCCCGCTCAGATGACGTGTCCCCCCAGCTTTTCTCTTGTTTATTTTCTGCTGAACAAGAACGGCTGCCGCGGACGCGATGGCACGCGTCAAATGCCTGAGGTAGAAAAAACGGCATCAGCATGAGCTTTTGGCGCTCCGCGCGGATTTCCTGGACCTGCGCTGGACCCCCCCCCTGGAGTGCGGAGCGCGCCAGGGGCGGCGCCGGAGGCGCGGCCCGGGGGGGGCCAAGCGCGGATCCAAGAAATCCGCGCAGAGCGCCGAAAGTGTATGTTTATGGAGTTTTCTCTTCTTCGACACAGCGAAGATTGCAGGACGGCGCAACACCAGCAGCAGCAGCAGCAGCAGCAGCAGCAGCAGCAGCGGAGCGGGTATCTGTATACACGTCGGTCGGGAACATCGGGAAACATATGAAGTAGATGGCAGGCAAGGTGGATTGGGTACAGGGCGTCCCTGAAAATAGCAAAACACTGCAGAGGCATATCGTTTCTTGAAGCAGGAAGGCGCTTGAAGTAGATTGGGATCTTGGAACCAACGAATTTCTACGTTCACCGACCGACGAATATCTGCTCCTCCCCACCCTCTTCCGCGGTGCGGCGCCTGCGGCGCCCAGCTCCTCTGCCTGCCTCCTACGCAGGTGGCCCGAGGGCCCCGCCGCCGCCGAAGGGCTGCCGGGGGTGCCGCTGGCGGCGGCCTGCATTGGCCCTGGCGGCCGCGCGGGGGGGGTGTTTGTCGCGTGTGCCGCTTGACGCACTGGTTGAGACGCCGCACGTCTTGATGCACTTCTGCGCATGAGTGCTTCCGCGCGTGGTATGGCATGGCTGAGCCGAGCCCCCAGACGGGCAACTCTTCGTGGCAATGCCAGGAGCACTCTGCTGAGCGTTTCCGTGCACGCAGAGGCTCGACGACTGTGAAGCAGAAGAGCGGAGCGCATCACGACGCTCGGCGGCGTCCAAGGAGGGGGGCGTCCAAGAGGAGAGGCGTGAATCATGGCCGGTGGGGCCAGGGACGCAGTGAAATCAAATGAGGCGCCATGAGATCTGGGCTGGGGAGATGGCATGGCCCCCGCCAGGATCTCCCCCCCTACTCATCACCCCCCTCTTGGCCGCCCCTGAGACGCAAGCGTGCCCGGAGAGGCTCCCGGGGCCGGGGCCACGCCGCGGCTTCTGCTGCCGTGGGGCGCCGATCGACGTGGCCCCGGCCGCCCGCAGCTCGGCTCGCGCCCGGGCGCTCTTCGTGACTACCTGCCAGACCACCCCGACCCAACCCGAAGACCCGAATTTCGGGTTGGGGGGGGGTACGGGTTCCACATGTGTTTTCTCGATGTTTCCCGACCCCCCCCCCACTGGAGATCGATGGGAAATCTGAGCTTTCGGGTTGGGTTGGGGTGGTTTGGTGGGTGGTGACTCCGAGGAGGGCCGCGCCGGTCCCCACACCTGTCGGGCCGAGCGGCAGGACGTCGCCCACGCCAGCTGGCGCGCCCGCCCCACCAGGGCGGCGCAGCCTCTGGAGAGGGGTCGGCCCGTGGGCACGAGGCGAGCCACTCTCCCGCTCCGCGCAAGCGCAAGGTCGGGGGCCGCGGCCGACGCGCGCGGGCGGGGCCCCAAAAAGCCAAGCCCTGGCGCACTTCGCCCCCCCCCCCCCCCCGACCCGTCATCCTGTCTTTCCACCCCCTTGCAGTCGGACCTGGGCCAGAAGGACCGACCCCTAAAAGCATGAGACCCTCCGCTGGCCAAAACACACACGGAATATCCAAGGGTCACCTCCCCAAAATGCACAAGAACACCCAACAGCTACGAAGAACAGTAGGGTACCATCCCCGAACAAACCTGCGGAAACACCTCCGACTCCAGAAGCCCGGAAAACCTGCAATCGAAGTGTGTATCAAGGACGGGTGGCAAGGATGCAAGACCCTTGGAGGCCGAAGCTGGGACTCTAGATGCGGCGGGCAACCAGTACATGCGGCAAAGGTCGGGCCGAAGAGGCAAGGGTACCCCAGATGAAGGCGCGCATCCTCACTGGGCGCGTAGTGCGTAACAACTGTATACGTCGTTCATTCCTAATCGTGCTCATTTCTAATTGTGCTCGTTTCTAATTGTTCCTGGCCCCCTAGTGGCCAGGAAGAGGCCCAGGATAGAACAATTAGAAATGAAAGGATCTTGGGCCCCAAAAAAATTAAAGAACACTCGAATAATTAGAAATGAACGCTGTGTGGCCTCTCGGATGGCAAGCCTCTGCTTCCGCTGGCTTCCGCCGATCTGCCGCTCGTGGGCGCGCCATCGTGGTACCGCCGCCAGCTTCCGCCCGCCTTCCGTCGAAGAGGAGACGTCAGTCCCTCGATCCGTGGAACGTGAGGCCCCCTCTGGAACGTCACGCCACACCGCTTCTCGCACGTCCCCTGACGAGCTCCTATGGCACGCTCCAGGCTCCAGGCACGCCACGGCCGCTCAGAAGTGCACCTGCGGCCGGGCACTTTTGCTTAGCGTGCCGCGGCGGCGGCCCTTGCGACACGGTATGCCCTGCGATAGACGAGCGCGTTCCACTACTCGCAAAGTGACTACTCGCGAATGGCCTGGACACGCCGCGGGGGATCTACGAAAAAAATTACATCAAAACCGATGTGCGTTTCTCGGACGTCTGCGAGTAGGCACCGTGCGAGTAGTGGAACGCGCTCGGTGCTGCGAGCTGATAGCGTGTCGCTCCGCTCCGCGGCGTGACGGGCTCAGGACACCTCGACTCGCCATTGGCCTGGTGGACCCCCCGGGGGATCTACGATGAATTGCACCAAAGCAGAGATGTGTTTTCCTGACGTTTGCGAGTAAGCACTTTTTTGGACGCCCAGAATGGGTACGGAAAACAGGGGCACACTGCCCAACAACACATGCTGTCCCAAACAAACAGCGGCCGCTGTTGGGCAGGCGGCCTTCTGTCTCAAATGGACACAGGCCGCGGCGGCGCGGACAGCGAGCCCTGTTCAAAATGGACAGGAGCTGCTGCTGGGCATTGTACCCATTCTTTCCGTACCGACGTCGTTCGTGCAGAACTCTGCGAGCAGTGGAACGCGCTGGGTGACTGCTGCCGGACACTTCGCGATGCCCTC